GCCTCCTGGGCGGCCCGGCCCCCGCCGGCCTCCCGCTTCCCGCGGGGCTGCTTTGTCCCTGCTCCCCTGTGTGCTGAGGGAGCTGCGCAGGCCCTCGTTGCACGCTGCTGCGAGCTTTCCCGCCATTGGGCTGGAGGCATGCGGGTAACGTTTGCCACAGCCGCCAGGCGTTTTGCCAGGCACTCTGAGGTTTTGCTTTGTCTTCGGCTTTTTGTTTTGGTTGGGGTTTTTTTTTTTTGGTGTGGTGTTTTGCTTTTTGGGGGGTTTGTTTTTTTTTTTTTGAGTCCTCCGCCCCCGACTGGCCTTAGTTATGGCCTTGCTGTGTAGAACTGCAGTGATAGTCTGGTATTCGTTCAGACTGACACGTTGTGCAGGCCAGGACTTCGGTGTAGTCTCGATGTACTTTAAATAATTTAAAGAATGAGCTTAATTTGGAATATTGGCCCAAGCTGACTTTAAAGTTAATTTTTCGGTATTACTTTGACATACTAAGTAAACTTTTTGGCATGCCTGTGGCAGGATTTGGAGGGGGGAGCGCTAGGAGTACCATTGAGGGCAAAAAGACAGTAACCCTGAAAAACTTTTCACACTCACCAATACTACTTGATCTTACGAGAGTTCTCATCAGTGCTTTGTTCCACTTTTTAGACTTAATTTAATCAATTTGAAATAGACTGTATAATGTGAAGAAGTAATTGAAGGCAGTACTACTATTGGTTGTTTCAGTCTAAAAATTTTATTTTTTTATGTTCTCTATACCTCATCTCTTAATTGACATCTTGCTCAAGAAAATTTGCTTGTACTTTTGAGGAAAGAAGTAACTTCTGTTCTATGAGGTGGTATGAAAGTCTCTGTTGCAGTCTGATGTTTTGCTAATAACAACCTTATGCTTTTAATAGGTCATTTGTAGAATCAAAATGGTTGAAGCAGATCGTCCTGGGAAACTGTTCATTGGGGGCCTAAACACAGAGACTAATGAAAAAGCCCTTGAGGCTGTATTCGGCAAATATGGACGCATTGTGGAAGGTAAGAAGAAAAACCTTTCAATTTTAAGATACTAAAAAATAAAAAGCAACAACGTAGCTGTGATGACTTTTTTGGCGTTGATCATCTGAAATGATGGTGCTTTCATGTCCTCTAAGAAGTTCTGAGCTTAAAAGGTTAAATAAAGGTTAAGTGTTGCTGCCTAATTACAGGAAAGGGTAACGTGGCTTTATTTCTGCAGTCCTTTTGATGAAAGATCGTGAAACCAACAAGTCCAGAGGATTTGCATTTGTCACATTTGAGAGTCCAGCAGATGCAAAAGATGCTGCCAGAGATATGAATGGAAAGGTAGGAATTAAGACCAATTATATGTTGCTGTTGCTATTGACCAGCAGTATTGATCTTTGGGGTAAATTAATGAGTAATAGAAGTTGGAAAGACAATGGGTTAGAAGATCCTGGAGACAAGTCATAACTTAAATTTGGCAAAATGTCTCTTGTCTCCATGAAGCTGGAATCACTTTCTCCTGATTATGGATTTGACAGTAGAAAGTGAATTCTGTCTGTCAGTCAGTTATACTCTCCTCTTTTATTTTTTTGTTTTAATTGGTGATGGAGGGCTTTTTAGTTGGCTCTTCATTCTTGCATGTTTCCTGTAATGGTTTTGTTTTATCATATTTGAATGTAGTACTGTGTAAATTACACTTTAGGGAAGTGACTTACCTGAAAACTATTAATGGTTCCCTTAACATGGGTTTAATGTGACTTCCCTACTGTGCTGGAGTGTTGATGCGCTATCTGGTAATCTGTAGATAACCTCCTACATTTGTGAGTTGCATCATCAATCTACTTGGCATGTATGAGGAGCGTCTTGCCAGTTAATGTGAAATAGCTTTGCAGTTAGCCAGCATTTGAATTTGCTTGCGAACACCCTACAATGCAATGATACGACTTTAAGAGGAAATAAAAATTTAATGCATCTGTAATGTCTTTAAAAAGAAAAGCCTAGGAATTTGGAGCAAAAGTTCTGAGATAAATACCAGGACAGTTTGTCAAAGGATTGTAGGCTATTGTGATCTGTGTGTGTTCTGGCATGTGTTTGAAAAGCTAGATGCAAGTTTGCAACTTAATGGGCAACAGCTGCTTATCTTCATAGAGGCACTGTGTCTTTGGGCAGTGAAAGCCATCTTCTCAGCTAACTTGAATTTCAGACTCTGGTCTTTCATGCATAATCTGAACGGTGGTGTTAAGGTCATGCTGCATTGGCCGCCTTCTAAGCAGTGTCTCTGAGATGCCATTCATGTAAGGTGAAGAAGCCTCTACTGATTCTGATTAATTAACACTTGGGATTTTGATAGCTGTTTGTCTTGTTAGCATAAGACATTGAAGTAAAAGAAAAATGTCAGTCATTGCAGTCAGTAAGTAAAGCATAACGAATATTTGCACTTTGGGAGTAAGAAAATGAGCTTGCTGTAGTGTTCACTGTGAACACACATAGTAAAACTTCCTTGTTTCGTGTTATAGCAGGCTTCCTGCTGTGTGTACTTAGTTTCTGGGTGCTTCAGGACAACCTCATGACAATTAGTGTTACTTTCTTTGGAGACTTGCTTCCTTTTTAAACAAGTTAGTAGTTTTTGTCGAGGCCGAGAGTGGCAAGTCAGATAATGTCCTTTCTGTACCAGCCTAAACATCCTTAAAGGTGCTCCTTTTATTGAATTTATTTCTTCGCTGTGTAGTTTGCTATAGTTCTGAAGACTTGTTTACTGCAGTTCTTAAACACTGATTTCCTCTGAAGTAGTCATTACGCTGAATCCTCACATAAGGTAAATTCAAGCACCAACAACTAATTGTCAGACTGAAAGGAGTTCAGTCACTAATCCTAAGCTTGTGGAGTGCAGCTTTCAAATTAAAATCCCTCTGAAAATAATCACCAACTGGTCTAAATCTTGAATGTTGTGGCATGTGTTTGGTCATGTTGGAAATATTCAGGAAAGTAATGCTTAGTAAAGTAGCTAAATGAGACTGAATGTTTGTGACTGAGGTGATGTCTACATGTTCTGGAATGCACCATCTGCATCACTGTCAAGAAGTGCTCGAAAGTACTGCCTTGTGGATCATCGTTCTCATGGTTTGTCTTCAACACCACAAATCTGAAAGTGCCTTCATCTGCTTTGAAATTTGAGCAGCAAATAGCGTATGAAAAGAACATCCTCACTCTGGATTTGGCTTAGAACGACCTTCTTAACATAAACCTTTAGGTGCTGCTGTGTATAGTACCAGTTCTGTACTGGTCTAGCTTGGTTCGACTATGGATATGAAAGATGTGGAAGATGTTCATAAGGTAGTCTCTTGTCCTCATCTTCAGAAAGCCTTCTGGACCGTAAGTGCTGCTTGTACCTCAAAAGGACTCTGCGTTCTAGATCTGAGGAGCGATGTTTGAGGCATGCTGTGGGAAGAAATCATTGTAATAAATCAGAACTTGGAGTTTTTCTGTCCATTTGGGAATGATGGATTGGAATGCTTATGAGAATTCTAGACACTTCAGAAGCAGCAGCAGAAGCACTGTGCAGGCAGTAGTTCAAGCAGCCTTTAAGGATTTAGTTGACCTGTCTGGCCAGGGGGAAGAGTTCTGCGTCGCCAGCGTGTTGCTCATTTTGTCATTCCAAAAGAGTTCAAAGTTGCAGTCAGTAGATGAGGCTGACTTGGATAGATTCTGCAAGAGTAAATTTGGATTTGATTTTTTGCTTTGCAAATGTTCGTGAAAAACTTTGTCCAATGTTTTGCCCCTTTCTGGGTGGGGGGAATGAAGGAGGTTAATGGTATTTCATTGTAAAATGGGACAAGCATAGACTAGTCTAAGCTTGCTTGTTGAAGATTAATTTCAGTCCTGCAGAAAGAGGTCAGGAGATAACGGTTTTGGAGTGGGGGTGGAGATTTTTCATTTAAATGACTTTCTCTGCAGAATTGGATCAATGTTAGCATGTCTGAGCAGCAGAGAAGAAATGCTAGAAGTACTTCATCACAGCAAATTATTAACCTTCTTTAAGGACAACCTTAATTGCATGGTATTCAAGTCTACATACTGATGTCATGAAATGCACGTGCTTATCTGGACACAAGTGTGAATACTCCCAAGTCTGTAGTGGACATTCTGTGCAGTAGGCTGTTCTCATGATCTTTTGATTTTAAGTCCTGAGGACAAAATGGATAATTAAAGAGAGAATGTGACCTTAAAGGAAACATCCAGGACAAGCCAGTGATTTAATTCCAGTGTAGACCTGCCAAGCCAGCTGGACTGTGTTAAGAGGTTGGAAGCAAATACTACAATCCAAACAACAGTCTAAACTGTACTCAGCGCTGCAGAAGGTTGTCTTCCTCTAATCAACAGAAAGCGTTTCCAGTTCTTTTGGTGAAGAAGTGATACAATACATAAGGTCAGCCTAATAAGAAATGATCTTCAGTTCTTGAATATATTTGGTGAAAGGAAGCCCACTTGATGTGCCATCAAGGAACATGCAGAAATGGTGGAGTCACTGCAGCATCAACAGTAAAATGATCCATTGGAGAGGAAAGCCCTATGTGCTGTTAGGTTGCAGTTTCATGCAAGTTTCTGTAACAGTTTCTTCAGAATATTTGATTTCTGCCCCACTCCCAAAACTCCAAATTTCATTCATCTTTTCTGTTCGAACATGGAACAGTTTGCAGGACAGTTCTCTAATTCTGTTTGGTTAAGGTTCCCTGGCTCACCTTGCAAATCTGTATAGATTGTTCATTCCACTTACAGGAGTTTTTATGATTGCCAATCTATTATCCTTAAATGACTCATATCTTAAATGACTTTCCTGCTTTTTAGCACCAAGGTGACTGCACTTTATGGTGGCCATATCATACTAAAAATACTACTGTAACACTCTGAATCAAGGTTATAAACACGAACTAATGAGTGTTTGTGTTGACAGCTGGTGCTTTGGGCTCATTGAAAAAAATTCCTTATTCTGAGATGGCTTGTCTGAGTTTTATCTGTTCAGTGAGATGAGACCTTTCTTCTTTGACCTAAGAACCTATAAAATGAAGTTGTCCCTTCTGCTTTAAAACAGAACAAACTTTGACAAATATCTTCTCCTGGTTAGAGAGGAAAAAAATAATCTTCTTGGACCTAATGAAAGGTCTTTTTGGAACTTAGGCATAGCTTTAAGACTGCTTGCATAAAGCAGTTTGAAAAGAAACCTATCTTTTGCCTAGATAAGATGCATAAGTGCAAGGCAGAAGGAAATAGCAGGAGAAATGATGAGGAAAACTGTACCTCCTACATAAAAAAGGAAAGAACTTGGACCTAGCATCCATGTTTTCAGAACTGATGCTAGCAGAAGGGGATGGTGTTTGGTTTCCAACCTCGAAATAAGCTGTCAAGAATCTGCCGTGAAATTGAGGACAGCAGTGGTCATGATGGCAAAGCTTAAGGCTTCAAGCCCACTGTTCCTGTTTTGAGAAGGATGACTGAGACAGATGAATGATGATGGCAAAATAATACGATACAAACTGAGAAGTTCCAGTGATCAGAGGTACTAATGCTCACTCCTGGAATGTTTCAGCTTGTCATGCCAAAAGGCTTTTAGAGGAACCTTTCATAAGTAAAATACTTCTATTAAGTCAAAGCCAAGACCAATATGATTTTGCTAGTATTTTTTTCCTCACAATGGATCAAGTTGGACCTGTGGATATACACATTGGTTTTTCAAACAGTAGCTACGACTACATATGGTGGCAGAATACATGAGCTACTAAAGTGGATGCTTTCAGAGAGGGCTAGATTTCCATGGAGAACAAAAAAGATTCAGTACATCGGTAAACGACTGTAAGCAGTTCAGAGTAAGCCGTTACGAGCAGTCATGTTCTTGTTCATTTATTGCAGCAAAGAAGTGCAATAAACACTTCCTGCATGCATAATTCATTAATTGTCATAGCATAGTTAATATTTAACTGCTAAAAAAGGCAAATAAATCATGTTTGCCAGGATAGATGCGCAGTAACCTAACTTCAGTAGAGCTTGTGATCTTGGCTCTGCTATAATAACCAAATGTGTGGTTTCTGAAGGATTATACAGAAATTTGATTAATTAGGTTGAGTTACTCAATATGTGTTACCACTTGCTCATGTTTGAGGTACAATAATTGGCTGCAGAGTTCCTGTTATTGCAGGTCTATATTCCAGAAAAAGCTCCCACTTTTTTCCCACAAACACACCCCCCACCCCACCCCCCCCAAACAAACAAAAAAAAACCCACAAAGCACCTTCACTTTGGAAAAGCAAGTAATAGAGTAAATTGTGACAGTCACCTTTTTTGAAAACCCAGCTTGAAACAGTAGAAAAGAGGGGTGAATTATCATACTCGGTCTGCTTTGTAGATGCTGAAATTACTTCTAAATACTTCAGTGATCACCGTTTTATCAGGACATCAAGAAAATGTACTAAACGGCCTCCCCATTGCCAGAAATCCCAACTGAAGCTAAGATACCTTCAGCTTAATCCTGTAACTACTGGTGCAGTCCTAGTTTGGTACAAAAGTCCGTGGCAATTGAAAGTAAATTGGAGATCATAAATCATGTTTCATTTACAGAATAAATGACATGGGGCTGCCGTAATCATTGGACGCTTGTGTTTTCACTGAAAGTCCTTTCTGATGCTGCTCTGTATTTTTTTTCATCAATACCACAAGAATGAAGTACTGTAGAAATTAGGCCCAACATGCTGCTGAGTACATGGGGACTAATACTGAAGACTGAAATCAGTTCTAGAGTTGCTCTAACTTTATAAAATGGAAGCCCTATAATAGTGAAGCAAGAGGGGCTTAATTTAAGAAATACAAACATGACTGAGCAGTAAGTAAAGCAGCTTCTTCTTTAGTCATTAGATGGGAAAGCAATTAAAGTGGAACAAGCAACCAAGCCATCCTTTGAAAGTGGTGGTAGGCGTGGGCCGCCACCCCCTCCACGAAGCAGAGGTCCTCCCAGGGGCCTTAGAGGTGGAAGAGGCGGAAGTGGCGCGAGAGGACCACCTTCAAGAGGGAGTCACTTGGGTATGTATTTACCTCTCTCATTATATACTTGGACAACATACAAGACAATCCCATTGGAAGATGACAATAATCCTACTGGAAAAAAGTCAAACAGCCGAATAGTGCACTCCTTGTTCTTTATTAAAATGATGAAATATGATCTCAGCAGTATAGTCAATTTTTGATTAGGCAAGTACACCTTAAGAAAAGGCTGTCAAATATGAAGATTCCCTTCTACAACTAACACTCCACTTGACTTTTGGCTATGAAAGAAAAGCAAAACTCCTGCCCTGCACGTGAGAAAGGAAGCTTTCTGGTATTCAAGTTGAAAAAGCGATTCTCTTCCACCAGGGAAAGGGAACTGCCTTTCATTCTTGCTAGCAAGAGGTCTAAGCTTAGTAAATTCTAGGACTGATCCTTCCAGATCATGGTGGGAGTTAGGGAAGCTAAGCCTTGTTTGTTGTTATAAAATAGTGTGTTGAGTTGAAGCTTTCTGAAGTGGAAGGGTAGTACATTACTTGATACTGGATGTTCTTTAATTTAAGATACAGCTATTTATTCAGAGACTTTTCAGTATCAAAACTGTCGCTTAAAAGAAAAAGCAAGCAGCATCTGAGGTAAAACAGTAAAAGCTATAATGCAGACACCCCCCACCCCCCCGAAACAGTGAAAACTCTTGTCTTGAAGAGTCTGTGTAGTAGGTTCTACAGACTCTGTAGTGCCTCTGTTCCCTCTCTGTAGGATCTTCTCTAGTACATCTTCCCAGGTGGCTCTTGTCTTTTGAGAACAGTAACTTGTTGAGCATTTAAGTTCTGACTGATTACAGATACCAGCTGTCTTTCTCCCTTGTGTCACACCCTGTGGCTTTTGGATAAGTTCTAAAAGACAGTTCTTGACAGGAATTCAGGTTATGGAAAAGTTAACGTGGTGGGTTCTCAATTCTGCCAGTAGCATCTAGTAGTGGCCAAAACACAAAAGAAGGCTTTGAGGACTAATTTTAGAGGTTTAGTGTTGATCACATAGTGGTAATATTACTGTAGTTCAGGCTTTAGGGGGTGTGCAGGTGGATATCACAGAAATAACAAGTTGGTTCATGGCTTATCCTTCTAGGGTCTTCGCGAGGGCCACTTCCCATGAAGAGAGGTCCACCTCCACGAAGTGGAGGCCCTCCACCTAAAAGATCTGCACCTTCAGGACCAGTGCGTAGCAGTAGTATGGGAGGAAGAGGTAAGGACTTTCTGAATTACTTTGTTGCTTAGTCAGCTGTAGCACCTTAGTCTTTCTTCAGGAACTGTTGCAAATCATTGATTCTAACTTAAATCTGCTGTGGGATAGTATTGTTTTTCTAATCTATCAGTTCTCTTCATACCTATATCATTTTGTAGCTGTTTGGAACAATTTGGTGTGATTTGATATGTTCCTTCTAGTGCTGCTTTACATTTCTGCTTGTACAGTTTTAAAGTATTACAAATGCAGGCTACAGAGATGCGTTTAAATCGCTATAAACAGTCTGCTAATACTTACTTGCCTTGGAGTCTTCTGTGCGGCTAAATGCTAATTAAGTTAAAAAATTTGGACTGTTTCTCTTAAGCTCCTGTGTCACGTGGAAGAGACAGTTATGGTGGTCCTCCACGCAGAGAACCGATGCCATCACGAAGAGATGTCTACATGTCTCCAAGAGATGATGGCTATAGCACTAAAGATGGGTAAATTCTTTTACTAGTTTAGTCTTTTTTTTGTTGTTGTTCAGAGAAGGATTTTGATCCCTGATCTTTTGAGGTGTGACATATAGCTAACATCTCAATTCTTGTTCTTTGTAGTTATTCAAGCAGAGATTATCCCAGTTCCAGGGATACACGGGACTATGCGCCACCTCCACGAGACTACGCATATCGTGATTATGGTCATTCCAGTTCACGTGACGAATACCCCTCTAGGGGATATAGGTACCTACTGTTGGATTTTTCTTCCTGTCGTTTTACTCTTGCTGTGATCTCACTGATTTGTACTAAGTCTTAGTAGTCTTTCCTCCTATAGTGATCGTGATGGATACGGTGGTGGACGTGACAGAGACTACTCGGATCATCCAAGTGGAGGCTCCTACAGAGATTCATATGAGAGTTATGGTAAGAATCCATTTTGAGGATCATGTAATTTGTACAGGTGTCTTATAAAACATGACTTTTACTAGGTTGCTTGTGTTTGGGGGAAGTGGCACGCTTTTTTTTCCCCTTACAGTGAAAGTGCAGTTGTTGGTTATCATTTGATCATCTTGTTAAATAAGCTATAAGCTAAAGAAGCAAAGTCTACAGTTCAGAATTGCAACTATCTCTGGAAAATATGGCTGAGTTTCTTCTCTAAAATAACAAGCTGTTCTGGAATACCCAGTAAAGAGCCTGCCTGAATAAACACCGTCTTCATTCCTTCAGAGTCTTTAAATCCACTCACTGCCTGATATGCAATCCCCACTTTAAATACCATTAACGTGGCAGATTATATTAAGAACATCTCAATACATACAAAAGAGTTTCAGTAAACATTTAATAACAGCAATTCTGTAAATTCAGATTGAAATTGTTATATATAACTTATGGTGTTGCCATATTACCTGACCATTGACCCTGCAGGTAACTCACGTAGTGCTCCACCTGCACGAGGGCCCCCGCCATCTTATGGTGGAAGCAGTCGATATGATGATTACGGCAGCACACGAGATGGATATGGAAGCCGAGAAAGTTACTCAAGCAGCAGAAGTGATGTCTACTCAAGTGGCCGTGATCGTGTTGGAAGACAAGACAGGGGTCTTCCCCCATCCATGGAAAGGGGCTATCCACCTCCTCGTGATTCTTACAGTAGTTCAAGCCGCGGAGCACCCAGAGGTGGTGGCCGTGGTGGAAGCAGATCTGATAGAGGTGGAGGCAGAAGCAGATACTAAAAACACTCTTAAACTTTTGGACCAAGACAGATTACTTCTCCAAAAAAAAAAAAAAAAAAAAAAAAAAAAAAAAAAAAAAAAAAAAAAAAAAAAAAAAAAAAAAAAAAAAAAAAAAAAAAAAAAAAAAAAAAAAAAAAAAAAAAAAAAAAAAAAAAAAAAAAAAAAAAAAAAAAAAAAAAAAAAAAAAAAAAAAAAAAAAAAAAAAAAAAAAAAAAAAAAAAAAAAAAAAAAAAAAAAAAAAAAAAAAAAAAAAAAAAAAAAAAAAAAAAAAAAAAAAAAAAAAAAAAAAAAAAAAAAAAAAAAAAAAAAAAAAAAAAAAAAAGAAAAGTGGAAGTTGTTCTATCTTTACTACCAGAGGACTACTAAAAGGAAAAGTTGTTTTTACCTTTTTTTTATTGTTGCCTGTTAAGTTTTCCCCTCCATGACTTTTATGCTTTTGTGAGGAAAAGTTAAACCAATGTTTAATTTCATTTCAAAATTGTTAACATTTCTTTCAAAAAGCAGATGTTAAATGTATAAAACTTGAGCTGTGTACTAGTGTTGTAATTTTCAAAGTAAAGTTTCCCTGAAATGCCACACTTCCCATCTGATTTTCCTCATGAATGGAACAAGCAGTCCTTAAGATCTTCCACACAACATCCAACCATCTAACATGGAGATGGATTGTTCTACATGTTCAGCATCTCATTCTTAAACAAAGTATTGCTTGTGATTTGGAGGGTGGTGGGGATATTCCACACAAAGTTCAGTTTTGCCTAGAATTTGAAGTCACAGTGTTCCCAGTACAAAATGCCTTCAGATCCTTGTGTAAAGAAAAATAGAGGATATCATTCGCTTAACCCGAAAAAGCAAGTGGATAATACTATTTTCTGCCTTCCTACTGTTTCAAGGGGAGTTTGCAAAGATCTCCCCTCCAAATAAATCATGTACATGTAAGTCAGCTACAGAATACTGTAAAAAATAAAAAGTTGACCAATTCCATCAAAGAAGCTGCAAAACGATGCTTACTCATACTGTTTCAAATTTTTGCAACTCTGTAGTGTTTCACTTTTAAAGGAACATCTTTGATTCCAAAGGAGAAAATAAGATAAGCAAAGAAGTCTTTCTCTCCAACTTCTCAAAGGCTTATGGCTTCATAAAAACAAGTGAATCTTTCAGCATTCCACAGCTGATTTAAAGCATCAAATGCCTGTGAAACAGCAAAGATGGTAAGCAAAGCAAACTAGTTTTTCAGTCTAAGTCAAAATTAAACGAAGTTATCTTCTAGTACAGTGAGACAAGCTGCACATTATGGCAATGGAAGTGCTGTCTAGATTAAAAAAAAAAGGAAAAGAAATACTTCAATACATTAGAAGTTCTCAAAATTCAACATTTCTTCTTGGATAAAAGCATTTATGGCACCAATTTTGAAACTAAAGACATAATGCAGCTCACTGTAGACAGAATATTGCCAAGTAGGGTTGGGAGGGGGTAATTGGTGCCCAGTATCTCTCAGTGAAGATGCTTAAAGAGGCTGCATATACTATATTAAACAAAATTAAAGCCTTGTGAAATAAAGAATTAGATTGACAAATACCAGCTCGGCTATTGGGAGTTTGAAGCAAGCCATTGCAAACTTGACGTTTAGTTGGATGCCTGACTCTGTTTAGTTTGACACTGCGTTACAGGGATATCTAGTACATGTGGCAGAACCTGTGGCAAGTTGTTATGACTCAGGTAAAGCCATGAAGTTCAAAAGATGCTCTTGAATATAGTAGACATGAAGACCTCCAACTAAAAAAAAAAAAGGCACAAACCCAAAAGCTTTGTACTACTGTTTAGTCCTCAGTAAATTTTGTCGTGCAATTTATGGATTTAACACGGCAGTGCACCATTGAAAAGGAATGAGAATCCATAAGCCATGCAACCTATCACTAAGCCATTCCAGTCCATTCCAAGCCAGTGAATCCTCCACCACTTAAAAGAGAGGTAGTAAAACTTGCAACAGAATAATCTGCAAACCCAAGCTTGTGACTTTTTTGAAATGGGGGGAAGCACTATAGGTTGACTTGTGCCATAAAATGTACTTTTCTCAATTTGTTGTATCTTCTCTTGATTGCAGGATGATAACTTCTAGAAGACGCCACTGAAGTAATTCTGGTTCATCTGTGTTGATGGCAGAGATGGGTGGTGCCTGTACCAATACATAAGGTAAATATTATACTAGTATAATAGCTGGAAGGAAGATTTCTGGTGGTTCTGTGTTTACAGATTTGGATGGACATTCTTGGTGGCTAAATAATGCTTTCAACTTGCTGTTTGAATTTTGGAGGAGGAGATTTAAGTAGGCTTTTTAAGTCTACCAAGTTAGGAATGACAGCGAGAGACTTCTGATGTGCAGAAATTGGTCCAATTTGGGTATGGCTGAACATAAAATCTGATCATAAATGCACTTTAAATCATGCTGCAGAGAGTACTTAGTCTAGGAATCTTCATGAGACCAGACCATACAAATCTGAACTGAAATAATAAATGTCAGTACAGACATTTAATCAGTCTTGTTAAATGTGCGGAACATGCAATTTAATGATTATACTGAGTATAATCTTTGATTAGGAATTGATCTCTGCAGAGGTCCTTGGATTAAATTGCAAACCTCCAGGCATCTCCAGAATGGTTTAAAACTTTGTAGGTCAGCTGTGTTTCATGATTTTGAAGCCTACCCCATTAAAATTATTTTTCAAGTAGATGTAGGAGCAACTGTCTCCAAGACTTGTATGTGGAAGAGTGACTGTCTCTTCTGTTTCTCTGATAGCTCACTAGGAGAAGAAAAAAAGTGGTACTGGCTGTCATGCTAATACAGCTTTTCAGAAAACTTTTCTACGAAATAATTGTTATTAAAAGGAAATAACGTTTAATGTGTGCAAAGTCTGTTAAAATCTAGTATAGAGTGAAGGATAAGGACAAATCCCTTTTCCAAGGGAAGTATTTATGCAAGAAGTGTGTGTACTTTTTATGTATTTTTTTTAATTAGTTTGCAAAGTACTCGGTAAACGTAAGAACATATTTTGCTATTAGTTTCAAATACTGCTTTTGAGAACCAACTTGGAAATTGTGAAAAGAAAAAGCTGTAGTTGGTACAGTGTTGTTCATCTGACACATGGTCACTGATTTCAGGGAAGTTCATGTTGTGTGAAGGATAGGTTCTGTTGAATACTGTGTGATGTTTGTCATCTCAGTTGGCTTACAGTTTATTCTTTTTAGAGTCTCAGCATAAATACCTGTGCAATGCTTTTGTCAGAATATGCCAGTAATACTTTGTAAATACTCCTGATAAATTGCTACTGTTACCTTGATAAAGAATTAAAAATACACTTTTATTTCAGGGTACTGGATTGTATTTCAGATCAAATACAGAAGCATCATGGGTATTTTCTGTTTTGAGTCAAAGGAAGCATGTAGTTAAATAAAGTAAAAGCTGCTACCTGACCAGCTTTTTATTTTTCTGTTACTTGATAAAATTTCAACCAACAAAAAAGTGTTACTTTCCTTGTCTTCGTGGTCCTCTTAAGCGTGACTGTTGAAATATTTAAATCACAAATCCTACTGGAAAGGACACCATTTGAACTGTAGGTGTCGTCTTAAAGATTAAAAAACCTAACCTTTTTGTCATTCAAAAATCACTTTTCATTCAAAAATGACTGATGTCAGTAGTATGGCACCGAAGTGGACTAGGGAAATAGTCTAAAAGTAAGCTCTTCTCCCTTGCTCCCCCACCAACCTGCAAAAAATTAGCGGGAGTTGATTTTTAAATTTACAGTTTAAGGCTGATCCAGATCATGAATCCTCTAATAAATAGATGGAATACTGTCTTTAATATGCAGCATCTTAGGTGATTTTAAAAGGTTTTGCCAAATCATCATATAGGTTGTGTCAGAATGTTTTCAACTTTTTTATATGTATGTGCCATGTTAGCTTCAATTCTCTATTAGTTGGAAAGCTGAAGATTAATTACTCTTGGCAAGTGAAAAAGCTTCTCTCTTCTGGAAAAATGAAGTGCTTTTTTTCTCAGTTCACTAGATACGTTTTGTCACTTACTGGTGGTAGTGGGCCATGGTGTAATTAATAAATATATTAAAGATAAAAGTACACTTTCTCAGCCTACTCTGCAGCTTATAAACATTTCCAGATTCTTAACAGGCATGGTGAGAATGTTGGTTTAGGGAGCAGTAAATAGAACTTAACTGACTACATGGCAGGAAAGGTAATACTAACTTTGTAAAAAAAACCAACGTAATTGTACTCATTCAGCAAGCTGTTCACCTTCTCTTGATCACAAGTTTTATTTAATTTCTAGCACATCATTACTTACAGATTAGTACCAGTATGTATACCAGTTTATTACAGGACTCTTGAGTATCATGCTGAGGTGGTCAAGAGCTAGTGGGATTTTGTGGTGGGCAAGAGTTCGGAGGGGGGATACGCGCAGGAATTAGAGAGGCTTCACTTAGTACTTGCTCCGGAGACAGTGTTGTACAAGGGAGACAGTGTTGTACAAGGAGTGTGCATTAATACAAGTAGTCCTCAGATAATTTTGATTATTGTATTTAGCTATTGATGTATTTTCATACTGTTGGGACAGATTGAATATAATCCAAATGTATACATTGTGTATATTTAAAAAAAAAAAATCAACTCGAAGATCATTTAGCTTTTTTTGTCTGTCTCTTGGTTTCTGAGAGTGTACTAACTTGCATTTCCTTTTTTCAGTTACGGTGACTAGAAGAATGCAGTTCAGCAGTGGATATGCGTTGGAAAATCGAAGGATAACAAAATGCAACTGATAAAGCTTGGCTTTTGAGTGTGGTGTTACCCAGTATTTGTTTTAGAGGGTTGTGTTATCATTCAAGAATTGCCTTTGAAAGTAGCACTACTAATCTCCTGGATATAAAAAAAATTCTCAGTTGGAAGTCGGTTGCTGTCTGCCGTAGCCAGCATCTTCCAAGAGTGAGCCTTTTTTTTAGTCAGTATACATGCATCAGTAGATTCTGCAGCAGAAAAATACTCCAAGGTTGCCCTTTACATAGGGTGCTTTCCGTTTGTGCTGAAAAAAAGAGCAAGTTGCATAAAAGTGAGTTTTAATCCTCTCAAATACAGAGGACTAAATTGTTACAAATTCTTCATCAAGAAACCATGAAAAGTTTTACTATGTTCTTAAATTAACAGTTTTATAATTGTCCAGGCCTTCTGGATGGGAGGAAGGAAGCGTTGATGTACAGAGATGATATTAGTGATAAATCCCCAGAATAATTAGTGTTCTCATATGTACTAGCTTCTTGCAAAACTCCAGACAGCACTGCATCTCTTGCAACAAGATGCTTTCTTCAAAACTTTGCCTTGGTTTTGATGCATTTTTATCTTGCATATATGTTGATGTGCCAACGTATGAGAGGGGAATCCTCAGGCACCGGTATTTCATGTAGAAAACTAACTTCAGATTGACTGAAGTACTTAAACAGTCACGGCTAATAAAGTTTATGTTGACTTTTTCTGTGGTAGATATAAACTGATCTCATTTAAACAACTAACACTCAGTTTATAATGAGTAGCTAAAGAAGAAAAAGCATGCGTACCTTGTCTAGGGATTTAAAACTACCTTTGGGTTTTGGGACAAGAATATCACTGCAGATTCTAGGAGTAAGTCTGCCTGTATGTAGCAGATGGGTAGAATTGCAGTATTTCCCAGGGCTAATAAATTTACTGTTAAACAAAAGCATTATGGGTTTTGGTTTTTTTTATTAAAATAAAATACCTGTTACTTAGCAACACTTGCATGGTAAAAAAGATTACTAGTGTTACATATTGATGGCGGTAATATTGTTACAAGGTGGTTTCAGAGAAGTGTTACGTTCTGCAAGAAAGAATAATAAGCTGTAGTATTAAGAAATTCCTTTTTCAGCAGTAGCTTATAGTCTGGGTACTGCTGTTTAGGCTAAAATAGATCATCCTGACTAAAATCTAATGCCAACATATGAGCTATCGTACAAAAAAAGAATGATACCTGCCTAAAATGCTAAATAATGAGAATGTACCACCAATGTAAATTAGCTCATGTGCTGACTCAAACTTCATCACTGAAAGTCACTAGTTTAAATGTAAGACATCAGTAGATTTTGCAGCAGAAAAATACTCTAGCGTTGTTCTTTGTATTGGGTGTTTTCCCTCTATGCTGAAAAAAAGAGCAAGTTACATAAAAGTGAGTGACTTTGAGGAGAATCACTCTAGAATGTTTTCTGAACATCTGAATGCTATTCTTAACTTGCTCCTGTTACCATGCTGTTACTGATGTATATGCCATCAGTCCTTTGATAATTGGGTATAGACCACCCCCCACCTCCCTTTTTTATTTTTTAAATAATACTGTGCTATATAGTCATCACTGGTCTAAATCGGGCTGCAAATAAAAGTGTATTTGTAACTTCGGGGTGGAGGTTGACTCTGCAAGAGATGATTGACAATTAATTTGATTTGTCCCTGTCAGCAAATAACCAAAGTTGAAGTCTTTTCCAAAGACGAGATCAGAAACTGTTCCTTGCTTGGCGGCTGTACCTTCATACCCTGGATTTGCCACAGAATTTTAGTGTGGGGTGGGTGAACAAGCTGGAACACTTCTAGATGGGTCCTTTCTGAAGGATGTAAGGTTGGCCTTGAGGCGGCTAATCGGAAATGCCTTAAATTTTTGGGCTTTCTGAATATGCGTATGTCTCCAGGTCTTTCAAGCAGTTGGTAAGTGTTCAAGATGTGGGAAGCACTTTCATTTAATTGTAGTTGCAACCATTAACATCTGCTTGGCGGCAACAGCTGCATGTGAAATAGTCGTGAAACTAAACCTGCCTATCTACACAAAAAAAGGTTTGCTTTAGAGGAGGGAGTGGGTGAAGTACTCTTCAGGTTTGTAACACTGAGTTTAATGAAGCAGGTGTGTAATTTTTCCTGTGTTGAAATATTTCTCTTGCTCTTACATCAGAAACTGGTATGTTCTGATGAGATGACTGAAGTGGATGTCCTCCATATACAAATGATTGTCCCCGGTAGGTGAATGAGCATTAGCAGTTGTCTTGCCTACTACAGATTTGGAAAAAGAAAAGGCAAGCTACGAAAGAGACTGCAAGTACTCATACAAAATAGTAGTGCTCATGAGAACTGGAAAAAGAAAAAAAACCAACCCTAAAGTTCTTGTAATTAGTCATAAATTTGAAATGTTTTGCACACATATGGATAGTTGTAGATGTACTTCACCAGATGGCGATGAGGTGGTGATTCAGCTTCAGCCAGCTTTATCGTTCACACTGGCTGCAGCTTGTTACTAGTATTTCCATACAACAGAGAACTGGAACTCATCCCCACATCCTCATAAAGGTCAAAAGTCTGTCTAACCCTAAAAGGGCAATTCTGATCCCTTACTGGTGGCTGTTAGAAATGCTCCTTACGTAGGTCCCACTACCAGTCGCAAGACCTGGAAAGTGGAGACACAAAACCATGCATATTTATTGTATATAACTTACCCTTTTGCTGTTGTATTTCTCCCTACCCCTTAAATTACTAGCCTAAGCAGTTTGAGAGCACTGAGGTCTTGAAAACAGTTGCTCCAAGTAACAGGGTTAGGAATGGGCTCAGAATGTTGTCACTGAGAAACTCTGGTCTCTAGCATAATTTGTTTCCTGTTGTATTGCTTCAATCCATGATGCTCCAAATTCCTTGGCATCATAAACAGAGAATTGCTTCATTTTCCACCTGTTCTGGTGAAATGACAGTTAAAAAGGAGAAGAAAATGGCAAGATGACCAGACTTTTCTAAATTGCTATGCTCAATAAGTGATGGTTAGTACTGTCCCAGAGCAGGGTGAGAAACTGATACTACTCCATACGATGGATCCTGAAGAGCTGGTGGAAAGGGGCGTTTTAATAGGACAAGTAAAATAGTTGGGACATTTCATTCTCAGCTTTGGATGACTAAATTTATGAACTTTTCAAAGTTATTCAGATGTTTGTTTTGAGAGATTATCATGTTCCAAAAAACCATTTTGGATTATATGTTCACTTCTTGTATAAGATAGTTGAAAAAATAAATTTTTTCTACATAAAGTGCATGATCAGAATTTATTTTCAAAAATCAGATCTTCAAAATAGAAAACTACTATAAAAGGCAATTCTAGTAACTCGGTTTGCCACATAAAGTTGAAAAATGTTTATTATTTAGTGTGACGTTTACCCCCAAGCATCTTTAGTGTGAAGTTCAATTTCAATGCTGCAAATACCTCATCATTTACAGTACTAAAGACAAATTTACTTCTTTGGGCAATAGCCACAAGTTACGACCAAGTTTACCAGATGATAGGATGCCAGCTGCCACAAGGAGGAAGACACTAGGTAAGATCTTTTTGGTGGAAAAAAAATCCACATAAAATACTTGTATTTTCAATAATGAAAATGTGTAGTGAAAGGTCTGCTTTCACTGCCTCTCTTTAAAGTAACAGAGCGCTAGAAACTTTTATTGAAAAGTTTCTTACCTTAGAGTAACAGTACTTCTGGTTCTTAAGATTTGGTGAGTTTCTGTGCTGAGCAAAAAAGAAGTTTCACACTTGAGCTCCGCAAGCAGCAGCAGAGGCAGGAAGATGTAATCACGGATGTGGGTTCCAGCAAGCTGCTGCACAGGAGAACTGCGCTGGCGGCAGAACTGTCCAAGATGAATCCAGAAGAACAAATCGTAACGTGGCTTATTTCATTAGGAGTTTTAAATTCCCCTAAGAAAATAGTAGATGATCCAGAGGAGTTCCTGAAAACTTCTCTGAAAGATGGAACTGTGCTTTGTAAACTCATTAATCGACTTCTTCCGGGATCTGCAGAAAAGGTAACGCTTTAAGATGTATTTTGCTAGCCTGAAATGGAGCACTGCTCAGTAAAATACTGCCCTGGTCATTTCGAGGTAAGGTTTTCTTTGGTAAGATGAGCGAGGAGCATCAGAGAGATGAATGTTTCACATTTCAGATATTAGTTGTATCTAATTGAGGGCAAAGTATGATTGTAGCTTTAGTTCTTTGACTTTTGTCTCTACATCCAGAAAAAACCCTGAAAGGTTGCAGTTGGCTGAGTTAGGCGTGTTCATTCAGTGGCAGGAAATACCGGGCCTACCAGAGATCAAAATACCTTGGTTTTGAATAGAAGGATATGCAGTTTGTCTATTTACGTAAATATCATAAATTACGACTAAATATATTCACTTTCAGAACTCTTACTGTAAAATACTTTGTTAGTCAGGAAATACACTAGAGAAGCAGATTAGGTTAGGAATAAATAACAAACCTTGCATCCATGCCATTTTGAACTGTCCCAAGGCCAGCAAATCCATTGGTACTGAAGCTATTTAAGCCATGTAAGTACCTCCTATTACAGTTTTACGAGGCATATATTCAGACAGTCCAAAAGTGTGATAAGTAACTGCAGGAGAAAAAAAGGGAAGGAGTCCAATGAGAGAGAGGAAATGGCAACACAGAAGAGAAGCTGTTTAATCAAAAAAAAAAAAAAAAAGTTTCTCCACCCTGTAAAACAAGCCTTTATTTCTTATGCAAAAATCAGTTTTGTGAGCTCCTTATCTTTTGCTTATATGCGATGGTTGGGGGCAGTGTGTTCTTAAAGGTCATCAATTTCCCACTGTCACTTAGGGCACTGTCATATGTTGACATTCAAAACAAGATGCCGACCATTTCGATGTATGCATCACTTCCTCCAGTGGCTCGCTCTTCCTGCTTCGACAGCTTGCCTGCCACCCCCATCCGCCCCCTTAAGAAGCTTCCCTAATTCAGTATAAAACGCACATGTCAATATTCATGCAGGCCTTCTGAATAGAGGCTATACGGAAGGTAATGCAATGATCTCAGTGGATTTTCTTTCTTTAGTATTGCCTGGAGCCTAAAAATGAAGCTGATTGCATCAGTAATATTCAAGAGTTCTTGAAAGGCTGTGCACTCCTTAAAGTGGAGGTAAGTTAAATTGGATCCTTGCTTTTACTGTCGTAACATGCTTGTTTTATTAGCCTTCTGAAAGGAAGCCAGATACCAGAGGGATGAAATCAGTAGTCATTCCTCATCTTTTGTATTAATAACCTAAATTAGAGCATGGATAATTTAATATTCTGTCTGGAGAATTTGGAAACGGAGTGTATTGACTGTGAGCTTAACAGATTCCTTCTCGTCTTTTGAGACAAACCTAAATGGTCAGGTAGAAATACATGCAGCAACAACAGGAGGTCTGTCTAAACAGGGTTAAGCAGTGTGGACCTGTTTACTTTTTTTTTTTCATTATTAGAGAGAAGGGACTGCAAGGTTTTAGCCTTGCTTTAATATGAAGGTGAAATATTTTTAATACTGCAGTATTTTTCATCCCCTTGCAACTTGCGTGGGATTCTGCCAAAGACGTACTATGAAATTGATCCTTACACATAAAAATAATCCTAATGAAGACAAAAGACACCTTTTCAGTGGCTATTCCTGATCCTATCTGTATGCTGATTCTTACACTTAAGCATAGCTCATATTTGCAAGATCAGAGTCTAAATGAATCACTTAAGAGTTCAGCTAATTTTGCTATCAAATTTTTTACTAAGTGCATATCGATTTAAAATGTAAAGACTTCTGTATCACACTTAAATTCCTACAGTAAAAAAGAACCCTGTAACCCAGAGTCGTCACTGTCTCATTTGAAATATGCTCAACATTGTGGAAAAAAATCTATTCCGAAGACAAATTCTGCCAGAAGCGGGGACAGCATCCTTGGGTGTTACACAGAATATTCGTGCACCACAGTGAGAAAAGTCCAACCCATGGTAGCTCTGTTCCTGCGCTTTTCCTTTGAAGGTCTAAACAAGCAAAGAGCCTTTCTTCTCTTTAGAGTTTTTTAGCTAACCAGCATGAAAATTTGCTCATTCCAGAACTGTTTCACTAGCCTGTTGTTTCCCAGTAATGCACTTCTCAGAGCCTGCTGCAGCAGCCCAGTTTTAAGAGCAGATATATATAGAATCACTGAAGGCCTATCGCATCAGAAATCAGTTGTTGCCAGTCTTCTAGTACTGACCATGTGATTTCCTCAGTTTTTTAGAGAGTTTATTTTTCTATTTGAAAACTAATCATGATGGTTGTGGTAGAAAATATTAAAAAATAGGAGCCTTAAACAGCTAAAAGATAGGACAAGGGAACAGTCTTCAACTGTTGTGCTTTAACACACAGTTTTGAAAGCCAGTTCTGCGATATTGCAGTCACACTCCACAATTTTCAGATACTAGGAACTAGCAAACATCGTGTGTCCAGCTCTGGGTGTTGCCCTGATCCTCCCCGTGCCTTTTCTTCCTT